TGCTGCTGCTGCCCAGCAGCTGGCGGGGCCCCCGGGGGCCCGTGGGGTCCCCGGGGGCCCCTCCACCCAGGCAGGTCCTCACGGGCAGCATGGGCTCCATCTGCTGCTGCTGCTGCTGCTGCTGCTGGGCGAAAATGTTGCTGCGGCTGCCGCTGCAGCAGCTGCAAGAAGCGCTGCGCACCAAGCGCCTTGCTGCAACAGACTGGCGACTCGAGGGTGCTGTAGCAGCAGCCTCCTTGCTGCTGATGTTTTGTCCGGGCAGACTCCAGCTGCTGCTGCTACTGCTGCTGCTGCTGCTGCTGCCCGAAGCACGGTGCTGCCCAGCCGTAAGGGGCCCCCGTCCCTGCTGCGCCGCCAGCTTGAGGGGCCCCAGCTCCTTGCTGCTTCCGTCTAGGCTGCTTGAGCCATAGTTTGCTGCAGCAGCACGAAACATATTGCTGCTGATGCTGCTGCTGCTGCTGCTCCCCTCTTTTCGCCCTGCCTCCCAGCCCGCAGCTTCTGCAACGCCGCCGGGGGCCCCCCGGGGCCCCAGTACCCCGAAAGTCCTGGGGGCCCCCAGGGGCCCCCCTGTGGCTGGGGCCCACGTGGCTGCACTGTCTGCATCTGCTGCTGCCTGGTACCCTCTGAAGGGGGCTGGGGGGCCCCCCTGGGTCCAGCTTTGGGGCCCCCCTGGGGCCCCCCAGGAGGCCCAGGCTGAGCTCCTGCGCAGGGCGGACTCGTCTGCATAAAAGGCTGAAGAAAACTGCAGGGCCCCCCTCAGGGGGCCCCCCTCTGGGCGCATATGGACAGAGGGGCAGGGGGCCCCCAAGTCCTGTAGCTGCTGCGGTGGGGGGCCCCCTGAGCAGTTGGGGGGCCCCTCAAGGACTTGGCTGGGAGCGGGGGCGCTGCGGGAATCTTCTTGCGCCCTTTTTATCTTTTTGCGGAAAAAACTAATTAGATTTTGTCTATATTAAAAGAACTGTTTTTTAAAATAAATTAAATCGAAAGGTGGAGGGCTAGAGTCGTAGATCTAGGGTGTCTCAACATCGCTGCGCGGAGCTGTATCTGACCACCTCAGCGGCTCCTGCTGCAGCAGCAGCTCCAAAGAGCCTTTCTTCGCTGGCAAAAGAAAAGATTCTTTGAATAAGAAAAGATTATATTTTAAAATAAAAGATTACATTTTAAATAAAAAAGATTCTTTTCAGATGCAGCGGCAAAGACAGGCGCAGAAGGCTCCACGCAGCAATGGCTGGGCTTAGAGTGTTAACACCCAGGGTCACCTCCTTCGTGAAGGCTCCTGCAGCCTTCTGCGCTTTTTGCTGCTTCTCGAAATGATTTTACCTCTTAAATAGATTAAATTAAACAAAAAGAAAATATTTAAAATTTTAATTTCGCTAAAAAGGAAGATAGGGCGCCTAAAATGGTGTTTGGCAGCGTGGACGGGGTGACCGTGCACGGGCAGCCAGCGAGCCCTCGCTGTCTTCAGCGCCGGCAAAAAAGGGTGCACCTCCCCTTAAAATGACTAAAAGTAAATTTAAAAACAAAATAAATAATTAATTTATTAATTATTTGTCATTTTATTTGCAAAAATTCAAAAGATAGATGAGAACCACCAGCGAAGAGAGACGCGCGCCCGCGGCGCGAGCGGCACGCGGTTGCATTCCCCCTCCAGCTACTTATCACTAGATTTAAAACAGAAAAGAGTACAAAATAGTTTAAAAGTTCAGAATATTTCACTATCTTCAGATTTAAAACAAAAAATAATACAGAAGTGCACAATTCTTGCATTTAAAAAATATAAAATTTGCAGTTTAGGGCACTGCCGGCCAATTTGGCCTTCTGCCAATCCCCCAAAGAAACCGGTGGAGTCGCCACCACGGCTGCACCCGCCCCCTTGAGGCTAGCTAGCTAGCTAGCTAGCTTGCTAGCTAGCTAGCT